ACGGGCCTGGGCCACACGGACCTGTTGTAAACCCGACCCAGGGAGGAATCGGGAGCATCGGCCCGGAGGGCTTGGCTGGGATGTGGAAGGAGCAGCCTTCTGGCTCCTCAGCCCCCGCTCGGCCAGTCCTGCCCCCACCGCCCGCCTGCCCCCCCCGCAGACGGCCCCAGGCGATTCCCCTGCAGGGCGGTGACCCAGAGCCCTCGGGCATTCAGTGACCGCTGTTCGCTCTGAGCCTCCGCTCGGAGAACTGCCCAATGAGGAGGCGGGCGGGCTGGTCGCCATCGGGGCCGAGCAGACCCCCCTGAGAGTGCGGTGGGACGGCCGGCACCTAATTGCGTGGAAAGACCATCTTCGATAATTGGAATCAGAGCAACGAGAGCAATTATCAGCTGTGTGATCTCCGGGGCAGCACTCCGCCGGGCGGAGGGTTCAATCACCTCTCAGGGGAGCGCGTAATTAGAGGGACCCAGAATGTCAGCACGGAGGTGGCGGAAAGCACTTCGGAGGGAGGGAGGAGGCCGGAGGGAGGAGGGAAGGAGTGGGGGTGAGGCAGGATGGGGGAGTTCTCATGACGGGCAGGTGCTGCTTTTAAAAGCCTTCGGGAGCCTGGAGTCTGACTCTTACGTTTGCTGTGTGACCTTGAGCAAGGCGCTTAACCTCTCTGGTCTCTACTTTCCTCCTACACTTCTGTCGTTCAGTAAACGTCCAAGGCACGTCTGCCGGGCCCGGCACTGAGGACACGGGGCTCACTCTTGTGCAGCTGCCACTCGGTCTGCAGGAATGGCCTCCCTGGAGCCCCTGGCCCCGAGACAGAATGCCACTCCTCCGGACCGTCCCCACGGGGCCCCCTCCGCACAGCCCTCTGCCCCCGCCGGCCCGGCTCAGCGAGGCGGCGCTCCCCCTCCTGTCTGCCCCCCGGAGGCTCCTCCAGAGCCGAAGCTGCCGGTGGCTCTCCTGGGTCCGGTCCGGGCTCCTGGCTCACGCCGGGCAGCAGACGCTGACCGCTGGCCTGCGGCGAGGCGGCCGGAGGTGCCTGCAGCCCGTTCCTGACAGCACGGCGGCGGTCGGCCCGCCTCCGAGGACTCTTCGCACAGCCGGTGCACCTGCGTGCGGCGAGTGTACGGATAACGGCCAGAAACCGTCTCCTTCTACGGGAGGGCCCGCGCTCGGCCGCCCCGCAGACGGGCCAGGGCCATCCGGGGACGGACAGTCCCCCTCCGCCAGCGGCTGCCAGGGCTGCCTCCCTCTGGCTGGGAGGGCAGGTGAGCGGGAGCAGGGACCAGGCTCCTGCTGGGACCTGCACCGTCTGGTTGGGATGCAGGAGGCAGAGTTCCCGTGCTGTCAGGCCTGGACCACAGGCAGCTCCTCGGTGACCTGGGAGCACAGAGTGGGCGTCACCGGCTCCGCCTGCAGGCCAGGGGGGGCTTCAAGGAGCCAGGGCCTGCGCTTGGCTCCTGCAAGCAGATAGAGCTCTCCGGGCAGCCAGCGGTGAGACCGCTTGGGACGGACGCGCAGGCACAGGGCGCTCGGCCCCAGGCGTGCGGGCTGCAGCCGGCGGGCGGGCCCCCGCGTCGCTCCCACATCAGAGTCCGGGCGGCCGAGGGAGCCGGTGGCCACCCCCTCCCCTGCTCAGCGCGTTCTGAGCTATGCACAGTTCAGTTCCGTGGCATAAATCGATAAAATGGACTAAATAAATTAAGTGAGCAGCAGGACTGTAAATAGATTTCCGACGGAGAATAGAGAGGTGGAGGGAACCAACAAGAGACCGTGGTAGAAGCTGGAGTGAGAAATGACTCAGGCAGACGCGGGACGGTGGCCAGGAGCCGTCACGTTGTTACACGGCCCTGCGCCGTCAAACAAATGAACCTACCAGCTCTGGAGATGGTTCCCCAAAAACTGGCGGCTGGTGGCTGCTAGAAACCCCGCGCCCGGGGCTGCGGGCGGGAAGCAGGATGGCTCAACACACCCCTCAGCCCAGGGGGGCGGGAGCGGACTGTGGATTTAGAATCAGGGTCCCCGTGTTTGACCCCAAATGAGCTACCTCGAGTCTGTAACGTGGCCCTGTTCCTTCTTCATTCATTCATTCATTCATTCAACAAACCCTCACTAAATTCTGTGCGCCAACCCACCTGGGGCCCGGGAGCCGCAGGAAGGACAAGAGCCAGTGCCTGTCCTCAGGGAGCGCCGGCCTGCTGGAGGGGATGGCCTCCACGCAGTGTGACAGGTGCTAGCGGGCCGGTCACAGTGGGTACCTCTGGGGTCCGGGCGGCATTTCAGGAGAGGTCATGTCTAAGCCGGGTTTTAAGGATCCATAGAAGTTTGCAAGGTGGTGACAGCACTTCAGGCAGAGGACACAGCATGTGCAAAGGCACAGGGGCACGAGAGAAGATGGAGTTTGGGGGGGTCTGCATGCAAGTGGGACCCCCGGCAGAGCTGGGGCACAAGGTCCACCTCATGGATTGGAAAAGGTGGCGTGACAAGCCCTGGATCTCGGAGGGCCATGCCCGCTGCATTAAACTGTCCTGGGCGAGTCTGGGAGGCATGAAAGGATTTTCATTTCCATAAGATTGACAGGAACTCCGGGCGGGGAGGTTTTCCTTCACTTTTTATGGATGTATCCCACACGTCCAAACAGAGAAGTGCGCACACGGCAGGTGCGCAGCCTGAGGCGCTGGCCCGGACCGAGCACAGCTGTGCAACCCGCACCCGGATCACGGGCCGAGCACAGCCGTGTACCCTGCACCCAGATCGGGGAACCGAGCACAGCCGTGTAGCCAGCACCCGGATCACGGACCGAGCACAGCTGTGCAACCCGCACCCGGATCACGGACCGAGCACAGCTGTGCAACCCGCACCCGGATCACGGGCCGAGCACAGCCGTGTAGCCAGCACCCGGATCACGGGCCGAGCACAGCTGTGCAACCCGCACCCGGATCACGGGCCGAGCACAGCCGTGTAGCCAGCACCCGGATCACGGGCCGAGCACAGCCGTGTAACCCGCACCCGGATCACGGGCCGAGCACAGCCGTGTAACCCGCACCTGGATCACGGGCCGAGCACAGCCGTGTAATCCGCACCCGGATCACGGGCCGAGCACAGCCGTATAGCCAGCACCCGGATCACGGGCCGAGCACAGCCGTGTAGCCAGCACCCGGATCACCGGCCGAGCACAGCCGTGTAACCCGCACCCGGATCACGGGCCGAGCACAGCCGTGTAACCCGCACCCGGATCACCGGCCGAGCACAGCCGTGTAACCCGCACCCGGATCACGGGCCGAGCACCGCTGCGGCCAGAGCCCCCGCACGCCGCCCTCAGTCACGCCCGCTCTGCAGGGCGGCCGCCGGCCTGACTTGTAGCAGTGAGACTGGTTCTGCCTGCTCCCGCTTTACAGACATGGGATCACAGAGCCTGCACGCCTTTGAGCCGGGCTTCTTTTGTCAACGGCCGTGCTGCTGGGGGCGGTGGTACACGGCTCGGCTCCCAGTGAGAGTCCATCTACCCATGAGGATAAGCTTCCACCTGGGGCTTAGGAACCGGGAACTTCACACCTTGGCAAATGGTTGCTGGGGAATCTGGTTACTATAACAACGGGAGGATCCCAAACGTCTTCATGGGCTCTGGGCAGGGATGTGAGGGGCCGCCCTGTCCGGCAAAGGGGCATCGTTGTTGGCGGCTGCAGCCCTTGCTCCGTGCTGGACCCTGTGTGTAGCCGGCCTTTCGCCTCCTCCGCCCTTGCTCCCCAACGCCCAGCCCAGAGCTGGCCACGTGGTGGGTGCCCAGAAGCGTACACTGGCTGCTCACAGAGGCGCCCCTGGGGCCTGGCGAGGGAGTGAAGGTTTGCTACCGCCCCCAAACGCCCAGGTCCCTTCTGGAGAGATGAACAGTCACTTTTGGGTGCCAATGGCTGGGGAGACTTGACGAGCAGTCCAGGCAGAGGAAACAGCTGTGCCCTTAGCGAGTCTCCCACACACACATACACACACACACACACACACACACACACCCTGGAGGCCTGTGGCCACCCCCAGGCGTGTATCATATGCTCTGCACCTCAGCTTCATCATCTGTAAAATGGGGATTAAGTGAGCCAATGGGCGGGGAGTTCTCAGATCGGTACATGGTGCGTGGTGAGCGTGGTGTGGAGCCAGGCAGGGTTTGTGCCATGATTATACCGCATTCGCAGACCGGGAGGAAGTCCCGGGGCAGCAGGGGCAGGGCGAGAGCCTGGGAGAAGGATGTTCTTCGTGGGAGAGCACGCCTGGGCTCAGCACCGGCCGGACGCCCCGAGGGCCCTGAGCAAGCAGCTCGTCTCTGCCCTGTGGAGCAGACGGTGTGGCGAGGTCACAGTGGGGGCCTCCCTCCCGCAGGAGCCTCTGGGGGTCCAGAGGGAGGTTGGGGACAGGCCACCGGTGCTGCCACCAGCAAACCCCACTGACCCCCGGGACAGCTCAGTGCTGGAGAGGCAGGAGCCCATGAACGGCTTTCAGCAGCTTGGCTGCGGAGCCAGCCCCCTCGGCCTCCTGGTGAGCATCTTTATAGACACAGCCAGAGGTCCTCGGCGCGGCCGCCGAGCCCAGGAAGTAAAATTATGAGGCCAGTAAAACACGAAGATGCAACCTCTCCAGGCCCAGGCTCATAAAAGCAGCAGGAGTAAAGGTCCTGTCTCCAGAAGGAGGCCCAGCAAGCCACCTGTCACTGTACACGGACACGGTGTACACACATACACACACACACACACATGCTCACACGTGGACACACACATGACACCAGCTCCTGCAGTCCCAGCGCCCTGGACAGGACGAGAGTGTGGCTCCTCTCAGCACCGCCCAAGGGTAGGGAGGGTGGGACACTGTTCCTCGCTTCACCAATGGCGATTTCGGGAGAGATTTGGGAGAAACTCGGAGCCCTGCAGGGGTCCGGCTGAGCCCGGGCCAGGTGTCTGAAGGCGGGATCGTGCCTGGAGGGGGAGGCCCACACGTGGAGGGGGCACGCTCACCTTTCTCCGAGGCTGGGGCCAGGTCGATGAAGCTGCGGCACGTCTCACCTATGGAGAGAAGAGAAGGCGTTCAGAACGTGAGGGGAAGGCGCTGCCGGCTGCCGCCGCCCCTCCCGGGAGCCTGGGGGCCGGGCGGAGCTCCAGCCCGGGTGGCTTCTCTCTCTGCCTTCCTCCCGGGAGGACTGTCCCTGCAGAATGTGGCTGAGCACAGCTGTGCTGCCGCCTCCGCTCTCACCTCCAGCCCATCCAGTCCCGTCTCTCTGGTCCCCTCAGACCCATCCCTGCCCACTGTCCAGCCCCGCCCGGCGAGGCCACAGCTCCTCACGGGCGCCAGGGCCTCTGCCCAACCCGTTCTCAGCACTGAAGCCGCAGGGGTGTCATCAAAACACAGCTCTGATCACACCAAACACACACATGTGCGCACACACACAGACACACAGGTGTGCACACACCTGCTCAAAGCCCTCTGATCTCTTTCCAAAGGAAAGATAAAGCCTGGATTGCTCATGTGGACCCAGGACTGGCCTCCAACGGCCTCTCCACCCTCACCCCTACCTCCTCCTCTCAGCTCCCGGGTCCTCGCCCTCCCTCCCACCACCAGCCGGAACACACTCCCCCGTTACGACCCCCCACAGCACGCGCCTTCTCCTGCAGGGCACCAGCCACTGAGGACCTTCTTCGCATGTGATTGCTGGGTGGACGGCCGCATGCCGTAAGCCCCACAGGCAGGCGCCACATCCCCAGGGCATCCCCAGCTGGGTGGATGGAACCCCGCCGCCCGGGTGCTCAGGCCAGAGCCTGGATTTCCCTCTCCCCACACCCCCACAGCTGGCCTGGGGCCCCAGCTTCCCTAGAACCCAACCGCTGCGCCTCACCTGCCCGGCCCAGCACCACCGCCCCCACCTGATTGGTTGCAGCAACCTCTGCCCTGGTCCCCCTGTGTCTTCCCTGATCCACAAGGAAGCCAGAGGGGCCTGTTAGAACCTGAGATTATGCTTCTCCTTTCAGAGCCCTCCTAGGATTCCTAGTTCGCTCAGATCAGAACCTATGTTCCTGCCTCAGGGCCTCGGCACAGCTGCCACCCGGCCTGGAGCCCTCTTCCCCCGAGAGCCGAACGCTCCATCCTTCCCCTCCTCCTCACTTTCCCCAGACTGCCTCCTAATCCCGCTCCCCCATGACACTCCCCATCTCCTCCCCCTGGACTCTCCCCCCTAGAGCGGAGCCTGCTACACAGTGAGTGCTCAGTAGATACTTACTGAAGGGACATAAGAATAAATGAACAAGTGACCAGGTGAACAAACAGGAACTAAATGAGTGGATGCCTGGCACCCAAATGTTGTGCCTGTAAGAAACCTCAGTCCTCAGTCTTTCCTCTGAGGCCTCCTCGATGCCCAGCCCTGTGTTGGCCACCGAGGATGCTGTGAGAGTAAGACAGGGTCCGGCCTCTAGGCCCCCCCGCACACCCCCCCCACCTCACAAACACATTTTGTTTGGCCTACAAACAGGGAAATGGTTGCCTACAAATCCCGATTCTGGTTTTCTCTTGAAGAACCAGAGGTGCAGGCCACACTGGGCCCACACCCACAGCAGCAGTCAGACAGGGCGGGGCCAACGCTGCCCCCTCCAGCTGGGCACAGGGCTCCAGTTTCCACAGTCCCCACCCCTCCCTGCTGCTCTATCCCTAGCCTCGCCCACAGCACCAGCTGGCCCCAGACCTAGCCCCCATGACCTCCAGAGAGAGCGCCCGAGCCCGGCTTAAGCCTTTTCCGCCTACCCAGGAGGAGGCAGATGTTGGTCAGAATGGAACCGCTGTGAGGTAGGCGGTGAGAAAGACCTGGGAGCTTCCAGCATTGTCAGCTCCTGTGTCTGCTTTCAGCTCCCTACGTTCTTGTCTAAGAAGGTCCCTGGAAGCCCCTTTAGGCTCCTGAACTTTTCTTCCAGACCCACAGACAGGCCAAGGCAGACATGGGGGAGGGAGGAGCTGCCGAGAAGGGAGGCGAGGCCGGTCACCAAGGGTCTTCTTGAGTGTAAACCAAGGAGAAGCCTCCTCTCTGATATGATCCCTCCCAGGTCTCGGGTCCCAGGTGGGCAGACACCGCTCCTATGGGCCCCTCCCCCCCTCCCCCACCCCCGTGCTGGGCTTGCTTCCGCTCTACGCTCTACACTGAGGCGCAGGACCTCGCCTCCCTGTGCAGATGCGGAAGGTGGGCTGGGCGCTGAGTGCCAGCCTGAGCAGCAGAGCAAGCCCGCGGTACCGAGGTCATCCCCTGCTGAGAGACGCTTGCTGGGAGGAGGGTTTAGAAAATGAAAGCAGATGATGAGCTCCAATGGATGGATTGCAAAAGAACTGTCTTAAATCTATTTAAGGCTCATATTGTTTTCTCAAAGTCAGAGAGGGGGGATTTTAATGGCCGGATTCAGACCAGCACCCTGGGCTGCATTCAGACCGCAGTGGCCCCACACACTTTTGCCTTTTGCATCCCTTCCTTTATTAAAAAATAAATAAACAAATAAAATCAGTCTCTGGCCAGTGTGCTCAGTGGTTACAGTGTCGGCCCATGGACCAAAGCTTGCAGGTTCAGTTCCCAGTCAAGGGCACGTACCTCCAATGCAGGTCCGTTCCTTAGTCTGGGGGAGGTAACAGATCAATGACTAGGGAGTTTGGTTTGGACGTAAAACTGAAGACAAATGCCTTTATCTCTTTACAGTGAGGCTGGCCCGTTAGACCGTGGAGCGGAGGACATTGCCTTCTCTGAGCCAGGGAACCTGACAGCTGAGAAGAATCCTAAACGTCATCCAAGCAAAGCAGTTCTCAGCCCTGGGAAGCCCTGGGCCCACCCACACAGGCCCCCGTGTAATTGGTCAGTGTGGTGCCCAGCACCAATGCGGCTTTAAAAGCTCCTCAGGTGATTTTTAATCTGCAGCCAGGGTGAGAGTCACACTCCAATCTGACCTGTAAGAGCATCTACATTCCACGTCAGACAAACAACGGGAAGCCATTCTATGACAGCGCAGGCTGTCGCCATGGACACCCCTTCACACAACAGCGTGGTGTGTGGGGCAGGATAGCAGTGAGCAAGGGCCTGAGCTCTGAAGTCAGGTCAGATCCTGGCTCTGTCACTTCCCACCACGAGTCCCCAGTCTCTCTGGGCCTTCATTTCCTGGACTGTGAAATGGGCACAGCCCCTGTAGGGACGCTGTCAAGACTCAACACAGGTAAAGAGCTGGGACACGACGCCTGGAGCAGAGTGGGTGCTCCGGAGATGGTGGTCCTCATTGTCATCATCATCTCCACACTTGACATGGGGGACACAGGACATGGCCCTCTGCAGGCCGATGGAGGAGAGAAGAGGCTGTGTGGACCACTGTCACGGGGGCCGGGAGGGAGGGTGGTGTGAGGGGTTCAGAGCAGGGGCCTGGCTCCCTCACTTCCTAGACGTGTGACATGAGCCTTCCATGCTCCTGCCTGTGAGCGGTGAGTCACCAATGCCGTGCTTCTACAGTGCTAACTACAGGTGGGCTGGAAGGGGTTGCGTCAACCAGCAGGTGGTGCAGCTGGGACAGCTCAGCACCAGGAGTCCCGCGCTCCGGCGGCAGCTCCAGGGGGTCAGGGGCTCCCTGGGGGCCAGTGCCTGGGGGCCCTGCACCTCCACTGTCTGCTCCAAACCCATGGGCATCTGATGCCCTTTGGCTCACGGTGAGCTACTCAGAGGAAGAAGGTACAAAAGTCAGCATCTGCTCCCAGGAAGGGGGGTGCCCACAGGTCCACTGTGCCCCTGAGCCCACGGGAGGCAACACCGCCCCCTGCAGGGAGGGGACTGAGGAAGACATGCAGGGAGGAGGGTGGAGCCCGCAGACCTCAGGAGGGAGAGGAGAGAGGGAAAGGGGTGAATGTCTGGGGATCTCTGAGCAGCAGAGCTTCCACAGCCCCCTGACGTCAGTGCCTTCCAGGAAAACAGCCTGGGAAAGCTGGATGTCGGGGTCAGAGGTCACAGGCTCTGCAAAAATCCTGCACCCAGTGAGGGTCCCACCGCCCCATGGGACTAGGAGACCGTCAGCAGGGAGCCTCAGGCCTGCATCATGTGACCAGAGAAATAGGTACCAGGACGCCCCTTGCCTGTAAGAGTGAAGGGCTTGTTTACACCCACCATGGCCTCCAGAAGAACTTCTGCACGGGGTCCTCCCCTGGCCCCTGGCTCTGGCCCCTGGCCCCGAGGCTGGCGGCCAGCAGATGGGACTTGAAACTCAGCCTAACGCAAAGGTAACCAACTCAAGAGCTCGCAACAGCCAGCAGGGGCCGAGGCCAGCCTCCGGGACGGGCAGGCCTGGCGAGGGTGTGCCCTGCGTAGCAGCCATCTGCACAGCAGAGTCCCGGCAGGAAACTGGCGGCACCTGGAAGGCCCTCCCAGCAGACCAAGGGGCATGTGAATGAGTGAGGAGCCAGCAGCGTGGCAGCCGCATCTCCCCATCCTGAAGGGGCCAGGGAGGGAAAGGGCCTGCGGAGAGGCGGGGCCGCGAAGGAGGAGCTTCGCCCCAGGGAAGCGGCACCGGAACTAGGAATTCTGGGATGGGGGCCGAGACTCTGCATGTCTAACAGGTCCTCAGGCAGCTGATGCTGCTGTGCTGGGGCCTCACTTCTATTTTATTTATTTTTTTTAAACATATTTTTATTAATTTCAGAGAAGAAGAGAGAGGGAGAAAGAGATAGGAACATCAATACTGAGATGGAATTATTAATCAGCTGCCTCCTGCACGCCCCCCACTGGGGATGGAGCCCGCAACCCGGGCATGTGCCCTGACCAGGAGTCGAACCGTGACCTCCTGGTTCATGGGTTGATGCTCAACCACTGAGCCACACCGGCCGGGCTGGGACCACACTTTTAGAGCCATGCAGTTACTGTCAAACCTCGATGGGGAGAGAACGAGGCAGGGGAAGGGAAAAACACCCCAACCTTTCTGTCCTCCCGCCTGATTTCCTGCGGTGCCTCCCACCAGACACAGCCAAGGAGAAGGCAGAGGGGGCAGGAGTCCTGCCACTCCTGCAGTCT